GTAAGTATTACAAAATTTTCATTTGATTTAAATCTATTTTTAATACGTGCTATCTGTGCTCTGCCCACCACGGTTATCGAAACCCGGTTTCTAGCGTTGTAAGTCCGCAGATATGCCACTGGGGGCATTGTTATATAGTATATCATATTCCTAACATTAATACTGTGTATTTTTATATCCTTAGCTCAAAGAAGGTAGAATTCTGAAGATTCTGAAAGGTTTATTAAAGACATCACATAATTTCGTTCGTGTTGTTCTTTATAATTAAATTACGTTTTCTGGAAAATTACTTTATTTTTTTAAGTTTTTTCATTGACATCGGTCATGACTTATAGGTTTTAGCCAAAGTAAACACAATTGAGGATCTCCTCGTGAAAATGATTTAATTCATTTTAGAATACTGTTACGACAGCGGAAGTCGCGCGACGCTGGGAGCATGCGCTGGAGTTCTAGAAAGATCGAGGAACCTGTCGAACGTCCTAGCGTTTGCTAGACATGCGCTCTTATAGTATATAAGCCGGCAAATAAAGTGACGAGATAATTGAATTGCAGACAGACAGAGACGGACAATTGAGTCAAGCGTGGTAGTTAGCGTAAGTAAAGTGCGTGAATCGTTGTGAATTATAGCGTGTGTTAAGTTAAAGTGACTGTGGAAATTAAGTGCATTGCAAAGTTGTATTGAGAAAGAATAAACTAGTTTTATTTATGAAAGGACGTGTATCGCTGAAGTTTCTGGGAAAGAATTTCTACTGGAAATTAACAAACGACCAGAGACGAAAAATTGGTGTCAGGAGTGGGATAAAAAAAAATGGAAACGAGAAGTGGTAAATCAAACTACAGCTTAGCAGATTTGGTGGCAGCAAAACAAACAAGAAGAACGAGAAAAGAAACAAGAAGAGAGATTACAGCAGTTGTTAGAGGAAAAAGAAAAGAAACAAGAAGAACGAGAAAAAAAGAAGAGAGATCACAGCAGCTGTTGGAGGAAAAAGAAAAAAAACAAGAAGAGAGATTACAGCAGTTGTTGGAGGAAAAGAAAGAAACAAGAAGAGAAATTACAGCAGTTGTTGGAGGGAAAAGAAAAGAAACAAGAAGAACGAG